GCATATTGATCTGTTAGGCTTTGCAAATGACTCTGATCAAGGGGAAAATGTGTTGGTGTATGTGTACCTTCCCACAGTGCAAAGGGAGAAAGATGAGAAAAATGTGATCCAGATGTTGTCTTAACTTCTTCCAGGCAGCTGGTAATATCTCTCCAGTCCCATTTAAGCCAAGCTGCAGCTACAATTTGCAAGTGTATTTTGGTTGAGGCTTTTTTAGAAGCCCAGCCAACCTGGAACAAGAGAGGGTCCTATGACAGGCTGGCACAAATAGGCAGCAGGATGATGTTATAGCATCAAAGTGGCAGATGTAATTCCAATAGTCAAAGCCCCACCCTTTTTTATATGCATTGACACCTCCCACGTCCTCCCATATACTGATACTCCTGCATGTAGGATTGATTGGGGAAATGGGAAAATGAACTTTATTATTTTATTCACTGACCTGACCTGATGTTTTTCCATGCAAAATTATATGATGTCAGAGAATGAGGTTTGAGACTAATTTCCAGATCCTAAGCTGTGATAAGATTTGGATTTCTCTGGAGAGAGGGAAAAACAAACATTGTTTATTTTCCCCAGAATAACCCAATTAGCACCTTGAAGAAGAAGCCCATTTGAAGCCATTACAGCTTATAGAGCAGTGGCATATGGAAGTATATCTATAATTGCTCACACTACTGCAATCTGGACCAGTTGCAGTTTTGAGTAGTCTTCAGGGGCAGCCCCATGTATTATGTATTGCAGTAATCCACTCAGGAAATGACCAAAGCCTGAGAGATCCAGGAAAGGATGCATTTGTTGGATAAGATGGATTTATCCAAAGGCCCTCCTACTCACAGCTGCCATCTGTTCTTCAAACAAGTACCACAAGCCTAAGAGAACCTTCAAATTTTGCCCCAATGCTGCAGAGATGAGAATTAAAGAGGGAAAATTGCTGGATCCATGCAATCCTAAAACCTGAATCTTCCAGATACTAAGAAACAATCTCAAAAGTATTATTTGATTAGTTCCTGATAGAATATCTAATTGTGCCATCAGCATATCAGCAGGGTTGAAGAGAGCATAAATGGATCTGTTGTGATTCCTTGCCAGCCAGTGGACCCAGCAATTGAGTCTGAGGAATCAGAGGAGGAGGAGGGGCCTGGAGTGACATCAGAGTCAGAGGAAGGCTCTGAGGAGCTCCAAGACTTACAGTGTGACGGGGAGCCTAGCCCCTCTACTCATGCTCAGGCTGAGACACAGCTGTGCTGGGAGTCTGAGTTGGACAGTGAGAATCACAGCTGGGAGATATCCAGGATGCATGAAAACGCCAACAAGAAAAGAGAGTAGGACAAAGGAATGCAATGGGGCAGCTCCAAAGGCAAAGGAGAAGGCATTAGGAAGCCACGCCTTGGCTGCATAATAAAAGGGAAGGTGTGGGAGGTTCTGGTTGTCGAAGGCAACCGTTCGTGTTGAGGATCGAGTTTCTGTGAACTATGTTTGTTTGTCTTGGACATTGACTCAGGTTTGTGAATAATAAAAGGGGATTGTTTTTTTCCTGCAGTTCCAGTCTGCTTGTTGGAAGAGGAGTTTCTTCTTGTGAGTTTAACAAGGACTCATGTAGGCTGGGACAGAACAGGATCTACAAAAAAGGGGGACTCTGTAAAAAAAATGTCATGGGACAAATCTCTCCCCCAATCAACACTGACTGGAGCCAGGTCTAGACTCAGGAAAGAACAGAACTGCTGAAATACTGTGGCCCAATTCCCTGAGGTAGTTCAGAAGCACATCATGATTAATAGCATCGAAAGTACCTGAGTGATTGAGGATAGTCAGAATGGATGCAATCCCTCAGTCATCTCATTTCTGCAGAGGTCATCCACAAGCATAATGCTTTCTAGGTCACCATACTGATAATAGTCCAGATAATTTGCTTTTTCCATACTCTTCCCTTAAAACAATTAACTTTCTCTGCAAATGAAAGGTTGGAAATAGAACAAAAATAATCCAATATAGTTGGCTCAAGTTATAGTTTCTTAAGAAGAGGTCAAGCCATCACTTCCTTAAGCATCAGCAGGAACATTTTCTCTCTGAAGGATGTACTGATCACTACCTTAACCCAAGCACTTGTTCTCTTCCTGAAAGCTTGAGCTAATAAGGAGAGACCTGGGTCTAAGCTCACAGTCCCGAGGACCTTATCTGATTTTTTTTTCAAAGTAACAACAGTAACTCTTCCCATATAATAAAACCAGACCATGCCTCAGTCATCTCTATGGGACCTGCCAGATAGCAAGCTTTGGGATCAACTTTAGCTGACAGATGCTTGAGGTAGTCTTCACAATGGTCCTGTAGTACATTTCTGGTTCCATCCTGCCAAGGAAACACCTAAGCAGGACCACTGGTTGGCTATTTATAGATATTATAAAATAAGTATGTTTTGCATCCTTTGTCACCATAAGGTAGTCCTTAATAGAGGCCTTTACCCATGTATGATTAGATTTGCTCCTTGTCCTGTAATAGTGCTCCAGGTATCTTCTGCCATTTTACGTCTATGCCCTATGTAAACTAAGGGGAACCCAGGGCTCCATGCACAAGCAAATGCATAATTAGATTTAAATATTCTCTCGCTCCAAACAGAAACCAAGGCTATATGCATGACCTTCATGAACAACCCCAAAATCCTCTGAAACCCAGTTAAATCAAGCACCTGAAATGAATAGCTTTGTGGCTAGAGCAAGCATTCAGCCACTCCATGCCAACCAGAAAGTGATCAAGTTAAGAGAGTGATGGCAATCATTCCAAAACCAGATCATGCCACCATTGCCCTGAGACAAAAAACAGATCCAATGTATGACTGCTTTTTGTATTAGGCCCTTAATTAGGGTTACCAAATATTTGAACAAGCAAAGGACAATAGGACAAATACAGGAGAAAGGAAAGCACCTTATTTAATATTTGTATTCACATTCATTGGAGAGGAAGGGATTACAAGTGAGACACACAATGGGGAATACACACTGAGAGGAATGTAATATGCTGATTGTTTGCCTAGTAGGTTCGTGTTGCAAGCTGCAAGAGGGTTAGGGTAAAACCTCAAGCAATAACTTTAAAGTCTTTTTCAGTTTCTAGGAGAGTTTGCTAATTTATGGTTAGTACTTATTAGGAAAACACAGATAAAAAGCTACTGAATTAAATACTTAAAAAATGAGACAATATTTGATCTTAAGGCTGTGCCTGCTGGACACAGGACATGAGGACAAAAAGAAGGACATGTCCTCCTTTGGTTAGATGTCAGGTAACCTTACCCTCAATGACTTGGGTCAGGCCCATAATTGCATGATGCCATAAACTCCTGAGCTTGTCCAAATCTACACGAAGAAGGTCAGATTGATATCCCTCAAGATCACAAGCCTGGAGAATTTATTTTATTTTTATCTAATTTTTAATCTTTTAATTTAAAATTGTTGCTTTAATGGTTTTTATGTTGTCTGTAAAAATAAATTGAATGCTGTCCAGAGTTACTATATGAGATGGGTGGCTATACAAATGTGCCTAAATAAATAAACTCCACTGCTAACCCATCCATAAAGTCAACAATTCAGTCAACAGGGAAGTTTTTACACAACCAGGATTCTGATATCACAGCAATAATCTTAACTAATTCCTCGGGCCCAACTTTGCAAACATGGTCTCCCATCTAGTTATTAATGAGGCAGGGCCTCTGGAAGTTGGATGGCCATAACTACCCTCTGTCACTCCTGCCTTTGAGCCTTAATCGATGCCACTCAGAACTCATCTGGGCACATTACCAAGAGGGAAACTCCCCCTTCTGCACCCATCCAAGTCTCCACTCTCCTATCTGTAATGAAGTCATGGATGATCAAGCCTTTATTAAAGGCTGACCTGGCATTCCACAGCAGCAGCTGAAAGCAGCAGCCTCCCACCGGGGTCATCCACAAGTGCGATCAATGCTGTCACAGTCCCATACTTAGACCTGAAACCTGAATGAGAAAGATTGATTTTTTTCGCAATCTTGTCTATTACAGTTTCTTTCTCCAGGCATACTGCATTTTTATATTGTTTGACTAATATGCATGTTGATATGCATATTAATGCAATTTTATTCTACAGTATACCTTTATTTGAAAACTGCGATATGAAAAAAGTACTGTTGATTCAAAGAGTAAGTTCACATTAAAATGTGCACAGATTTCTTCATCTGACCTAACTTTATAGAAATCATTCTTGGTGTTTTCAGCATCAAGCAAAGATTTTGATTTAGTTCACTGACTGACAAGTGCATTGATTTTGATCCATACATGGGAACAGGTGATTGCCCTGTGACAAGTTTGTACTGGGTCCCAGCAGTGATGTTTCAGCTGTGAGTGATTCTCTCAAGGGCTTCCAGAATCTAGGGAGTAGACATTTCTTTGTTTTCTGGCTTGATAATAGATCATTTTGCCCTAATTATTTACATCTGAAAATCAATCTCTATCCATTTCACAAGTCAATCTGTCATTTCTGATAAGGACTGCATTGGTACAATCACTGTGCTTCTCTAATAACATCCATTTATTCTCATGTAGCAATTTTGCTCTTATGATTTGTATTAGAATGTTCAAATTTTTGCTTCATCCTTCCACCTTCTTTCTCCCCAACTTCTCAGGTTAATGACAGGTTGAGAAGGGTTATTCCATATGGTGACAGAATTAAGAATTCATGTGGTCACTAAGAAATTGGCACAGTGTAAAGTAAACTAACTGGGATTTCTTTCTAGAGATAGAAAACCAGGTGGCTGTAATTCTGTGCAATACAGTACATAGTTCTGTGTATGACAAACAACTGAGAAATCAGTTGCTAAAACCATACCCATCTCTGCACTGCTTGAGGCATCATCTGTTGTATTTCTGGCAGACTGGCAGTCCAGAAACTTTGTCAGGTCACACACACACAGACACACAAACACACAAACAAAGACAAAGACTGAAAGTGTCTGTAAGTATGGAGGGTAGTACATAGGCCAGAAAATCTGTGACACTGACAGGGTTGTTGAACTTCAACTCCCAGTAATCCTTATCTTGGACCAGGCTGACTGGGATAATTGGGAATGGAAGTTCAGTAACACCAGAAATACTATAGATTGCAAACCTCCAGATTACCACATTGAAGAAACAATTTCAAGGCTCCACTGAACCATGATGTTCACTGCAGGACATAGTGCCCACCTCTAATTTTGAGGCTAGCCGATCTCATAGTACAGATGTGAGAAGAAAAATGAGGGGGAGGGGCAGGATAAAATATGGATGATGTATTATGTTATTTGAAGGGAAGAGGGATTTTGATGTATCTGTCTGGAGTCCCTTGTCTGTAAACACAAATGGAATCCTGATGCAAATTCCATTCAATCAAAGCAGACTGATTCAGAGAAGAATATGGCAGATGTTAGGGACCAATAATTTACATAATCTGCTTTCCTTGCTAGTATTGAAATTGTATTAAACAAATACTCTGTGACATGTAAAACAGGTGGAAAATTCCTTTCAGCTTAGTAGATATATAATAGAAAAGCCATTACTCAGTGGTCAAGGAGATAGTGGTAGGGGAATTGCACATGACTCAAAGAGATTGGAAACCAAATATTCAATGGCCCAATATTTGGCTTTTCCTTTTCTGGTCAAAGGCTTAACACACCTTTTTCTCTTTAATTTCTAGGTAAATCTTGACTGGGAATGCACAATGCCATGATTTGGGGTTGATTACTGCTGAATTTTGATGATATGAACTTGAAAAGGTCTTGGAATCTCTAAAGAAAAGAGTGAATAATTTGTCTATTCATTTCTCTCTATATTTAGATTATATACAAATTTCCCAGTTAAGGGTAAAATCAGCTTAAGTCACTGCATCTCTCTTTACAGAAATTAATTAGTATTCTTGCTCTCTTAGTATGTAACATTATAGTATACACTCTCGTTAACAGTTCACTGTTACTAATTTCTGTACTTGCAAAACATCAGTGAATTTATCATTGTCCAAGAATCAAGACTAAGAGAAAATGGTCAAGGCTGATAAAATGTTCACCCTTTGGGAGCTAAAAACTCAGTAGGTACAATATTCAGAAGACAGATTCCATTTTTTTTCCATCTGCTAATATAGTCACCAATAGCATTTCAATTTGAAATATGGTAAAACCATTCATCTTCAGCCCTTTTGGTTTGCTTTGGAATGAAATGTTAAGTGTGACAAGGCCTGTTTATTATTTGAATCACATAATAATCTTTTTAGATACGTTTTTAAGAAGAATGGTAGGAAAATATTACTGTATTTGACTTATTTATTTATTTCAACAGCAAGTGATCTAGAAATGTCCCTCGTTGCTTTTCAGAATACATAGTTTCTAATTAAGACAGGAATAGTCATTGCTTTCTGTATGAAAACTGATCACAACAACTGATCAAACTTCTAGGATAAAATCAGGATCTATGGGAAATAGATTTTGTTTTCAGTTTTCTGAAGGATTTTTATATCTCACACAATATGACAATTGATTCAGCTTTCCTAGCTAAAATCTATATTTCTAAAAATGAAGTTCCAACAATAAAAAAAATGCTTATTATTTTCTTCCTAACAAGGTTAAGGAGATCCTCTAGTGCAACCTAACACTATTTCTGTACCTGATGAGATGTAATTTGCAGTTCTGGAAATTTCATTCCATCTCAAAATGCAACCTGTATAATCATGCCACAAACATCTGTCACATTTTTCTTCTTTTCTTTTTCCCTGTATTTTAACCTTCTTGTCTGATGAAGAACTCTATTAAAAATCTGCAATTAGCTTGGAAAGTTTCAGTTGTCCTGATAAAAGAATTGCATCTATGGAATTTGTATCAGTCAACTGATTCTTTGACTCTGGAAGATACTATTTTGAAACCCATGATTGTCTGGAAAGATTTTGGTGTGTTAGGAGTCACTTTGAAAGTCTCAGGTGCCATCAGTCTAGATAATGGGCACTTTAGAATCTTCCCAGTTTTCACATCAGCTCAGAATGCAAGAATGCTTTGTCACACAATACAGCAGCATTGCACTGCATTAGATCAATGTTAAAAACCATTGACTAACCAGGACGTAAATCTGGGCCAAAGAGGTGAAAATCTGCTATGACACAGGGATACAGGGAATCCAGCCATTCAGATAAAATGCCAAAGTAGACTATGTTAATTAAACTCAAATTAAAAGAAACATAACCAGCAAAAACAGCAATTTAAAAAAAAATCCAACTCTGTAATATTGGCATGTTCTAATATTGAAACCCTGAAAGGATGGTTTCCTTGTAGTCCTCCTTGTTGCTATTAAAACTTAATGTCTCTATAGAGTTCCTCCCCTAATAAATCCAACTGATGAAGAAAAGAGCCATTTCATCATTTCCTTTGGCAAACTTTCCCAGAGAAAGCAACATGCACAACTAATTGTTGTGCTTTACATCATTTCAAGTTGTTCACTATCTCTGAGGAAAGCTTTATGCTGGGTTTTGGTGTCCTGGAAAAAGTGCACACTATCACTAGTCAAACCACCAATCTGCCTTACTTCCAGGTTGAGCTGAAGACATTTTATAGCCTGGAGCAATGTGGGCCAAGATTGTCAACTTGCTTTGTCACTAGGATGCCAGTTCTGATCTCCCTTAATGGTTCTCTCTCCCACTTGCACAGCGTAGTTCTGTCTGAAGCAGGTTGCTTCAGATTTCTGCGTAACAGAAGGAGCTGTCTCACCTCATTTCCAATCTGTTCAGGATTCAGATTTTTGTTAATGATAAAAGCAGGACCAATATTATCATAAAGATGGATCAACCTTGGATTAACCATTAAGCAAAATAAGCTCATGCTTAGGGCACCAAGGGAAGAGGAGCATTGGAATTTTTTGCCCTTAACTCTTTCACTGCCACACTTGACATAGCTGACTTTTTTATGTTTTTAATTTACATTGCTTAAAAAATTCTTTGGTATGGTGAATGGCTAAAATTTTAAAGTTTTCTTTGAAGGTCTTCATCAGACATCACATTTGTTTGTATCTCATGATATTGGACTATGCTTGGAGCATCACTTGGCTTTAATCTGGCCCTGAGCTGGATGAACCTACCTGTTTCAGAGTGGGCCATGAAAGTAGTTGAGGGTGCATGTGTGTCTTTGGGGGGGAGGTTGCGGGGAAGGCAATGGGAATCAAGAAAGACAAGAACTGATAAGGAATTTTGACTCTAATGTAGAGGACAAATGTTTGGTCTTGGCTTCTAGCAACAACACGTTTGGGTCAGCAGTGATGAAGAACTATAAGAAGTTGTAAAAAGACTGGATTTGCTCACAGTCCCCTAAGGACATTCAGATAATCAGTATGATTTCTGGCTTATGTCTACACATTTATGCATACAATTACCATCATATGATTGCATGTGCATATGTGGCCATGAATTGAGGCTTCACGTCCCTTCCAATGTTCTGACACAATGAAAGTCTTGACAAAAACCAACCTCTGGTGCAAGAAGGAAAGATTAAATTATCGAACAACTAAAATTTGAGTCTTCTTCTTTGGCTCATTAATTTCCCAGGAACTATTAGCTGTCAGCAACCAGTGGACCTTACATTCAAATTACTAAGTCTGAATTGTTAATTTCTCATAATCCATCAGCCAGCTGACATTACTAGCTAATATTAGCAGTGTCGGTTTCCCCCACATAATAAAAGAAGAAGAAATAACTTCTGAACCTGAACCTAAAACAGTGGAGCGGGGGGAATCGCTGGGGAGGTGAGCACTCCAAACAAGACTGAGCAGAGGACGAAGGCTTAGCATGAGTATTGTGGACAGTTTCAGGTGGACGTGCAACCGCAGGAACTATTTTCAACAATCATAATACAAATAAATTAGACACAATCTAATCTGGCTTTTCCTTTTAACAGCTGTGTTTAAATTAAAACAACTGTGGAGAACTCAGAAGGAAATGCAAAGTGTCATAGCTGTTGAACTAAACACCGCTCTCAAAAGAGCCACCAAGACCAAAATATCTTCCCTTGTCAAGATTACATGGTGAGTAACAGTTATACAATATATTGCCCTACAAAGAAAAATATATAGTGGGAAATGGTTTTATTTTTAGAAAACAGTGCATTTCAACCTTTTTTTTTTTTACTAATCAAAAACAATGGACAAATATATTCAGATTGTCTAGTGAAATTGGTACCATCTGTTATGTTTGCAGGGTCGAGGCATTAAGCAGACACACATTGTGTGAACAAGCTTCCTTTATTGATCTCTTCTCTCAATCAGCAAAAAGCAAAACGGCTCACAGGTCTTTTATAGTGTCAAAAACTCAGAGAGTGTCAGCCAATAGAAATCTGGCTGTTTTTGTGCCTTGCACATGTGCGCAAGGCTGGTGACAGCCAGTCTGGTCCCGGGCAGATTTTGGTCTGCCCGGGACCATTTGCAACATTTCTGAGCCTGCTGAATGCTTCAGCAGGCTCAGGACACAACACCTCTCCCCCCTAGATAAAACAATATACCTTATGATATAACAGCACAGGTACATGTGTTCAAGGGACTGGGGTTAGTGGAAATCACAATTGCCTGCACATAGGCAGAGCACTCTTACATTAATAATTCTTATAAAAGAAAATACAACAAATAATAAGTTGAAGATAACACTCCTTCACTGAGTGTTTGTTCTGCATCTTGTTTAAGGACTAGTAAGGTTCCCTTAGAATTGACAGAAACCTCACGTAGTCCTCAAGATGTTTAGGTAGGCCCTTGGCCCGCTGTGACCTTCTAATGGCCGGTGAATGTGCCTGACCTGCCAGCTCTCCTGCCAGGCTAGGCAGACCAGGATTTTGATGCCCCAAGAACCCAGGTGACCCACCCAGCTGCTGACTGGCTGGATCCTCTGAATCCAAACGAGGGTTCTTTGGGGGGGTGGGATTCCCCAAGTCCAGTGGAGGGGTGGAATTCCCCAAATCCACAATGGACTCCTCTTGGGAGCACTGTCTCTTGAGCCCAAGACCAGCAGATGGAGTGGTCTGAGTGGCGGAAGTGCCCCAGTACCCCATAGCCTCCATGTATGGGCCGGAGGTGCCAGAGTCAGGAGCCGCCTCCATGGCAAACCCTTTTTGGAGATTCCCTGTTTGAAGCACTTGCGAAAGCCTGATATGACCCCCGTTCTGGAGCAATAACTGAATCCTGTGAATGTCCCCGTTCTGCCACGGGAACATGTGCGGTAGCGTGTGAAAACCTGCTGGAGCTGGGAGACTGTGGTCCAGAATGAAGATTATGGTCCTCCCCACCCCCGAGAGCAGAGCCAGGAGCAGAATTATTGCTGTGAAGCCTCCAGCGCAGTTGGTCAATGTGTCTTCGGATGACACGTCCATCGTCCAAGGCCAGTTTGTATGACAGTGGCCCAGAAACCTTGCATACTGTTGTGTCCCATTACAGAAACCTTGCATACTGTTGTGTCCTGTTACACAGAAATGTTACAAATGGTCCTGGGCAGACCAAAAGCTGCCCGGGACCAGATTGGTCAGAGCCAGCCTTGTGCACATGTGCAAGGCACGAAAACAGCCAGTACCTATTGGTTAACACTGTCTGGGTCCAGGGCCCTATAAAAGGCCTGTGTGCCTTTTATCACTTGCTTGGTTGTAGGAGAAGAGTAATAAAGAGCTTGTTTGTTCACCATGTGTCTTCGTCAATTGCCAACGAACAGAATACACAAAAGTGGCGACGAAGGTGGGATCCCTGCAAGCAAGAAAAACAAATAGGACTCACTGAGTAAGTCCTGAGGACCGGGAAGACGGCATCCTGCATTCGCAACTCAGCCTGCCGGTACAGCATTGCTGGAGGTGAGCTTGGCAAAAGGACCCTTTCCCCCAAATACTAGCTTGCAGAGGAGGCAATTAGTGAAGGCTGTAAAAGTTTACGATGTCGAAAATTGGCCGCTTGACTGCCTTTGATGTCTCCCACAATGGAATTCATACGTAGCAAGGGTGGAGAACTACTTTAGACTAAATCAAATCAGGGAAGACAGCCTGAAGGCAGCAACTCTTCTGTGTGCCTGTGGACAGGAAGCTTTTGACATCGTGGAAAATCTGGTGGCCCTGCACTTCTGGAGTCAGTAATGTACGCTGACTTGAAGAAGATGTTGAAAGAACATTTCCAGCTAAATTGTCATTGTTTGGAGGCATGTGTTTGAGCAGAGAGACCAGAGGCCGGGTGAATCTGTTGTGGACTTTATTGTTGCCCTTAGACAAGCGGCCAGGCCTTGTGAGTTCAAGGACCTGGAAGAGAGGCTGAGAGATCACTTTGTATGTGTCCTACGAAGTAGAGAACTGCAACAGAAGATCTTTGCGAAAGAAGAGGTATTGTTTCAAGAAGCTTTAAGAGAATTGCAGCTGAGGAAGCAGCAGGCGGCGCTGTGAAGGCTTTGTGGCTCGCCAGGAACCCTCCAGCCACCATGACTGTCCATCAAGAGGACGCTCGAGAAGATTCAGAAGTGGATCCTGAAGAGGAGGTGGACAGGCTTCACAGCCAGCAGAAAGAAGGCCAAAGGGGCATCCAGACAACACCCCAGCATCTCTTCAGTGCCTCGGGTACGGAGGATGCCACAAGCGAGCTGACTGCAGATTCCGCTCCGCCATTTGCCGGGCATGTGGCAGGCAAGGCCACATTGCCTCCGTCTGTTTGGGTTGCCAGAAGGTCCAACCTCAGGAAGAATTGCTTCAGAAAGGTACCAGGGTCCCCAGCCAACACAGGGTGGGTTTCTGCGCATCGCACAGGAGTATTCTGAGGACAGGGACACACAAGCCCCTTAAGAAAAAACTTCGCATTGACATGAAGTTGCAAGGGGTTCCCTTATTGCTGGAGTTGGACACAGGGTCCATTCTGTCAATCATTTCACTTGACACCTTCAAAAGGATTTGCAGCAGTAGTGGTCTTCCAGTTAAACTCAGGCCATCAAATTTAATACTCACTGATTTTCAGAATTCCAAAGTCAGTGTGAAGGGGGAGGCCACGCTCAAAGTACAGCGTAAGGATTTTGAGGGTTTCCTGGATGTGGTGGTAGTTGGGGGTGAACGCACGAGTCTTATTGGACTCGATTGGTTCGAGGCTCTTGGAATCCAAGTGACTGGGCTTCATAACTTGCAAATGTTAGGCCTTGCAGAAGTCTGCAAGGAGTTTGCTGATGTGTTTAGTTTAGAGCTAGGATCCTACAAGGGGCCCCCCATTGCATTACGTTTAGACCCAACTATCACAACCATCAGGGTCAAGCCTAGAAGGGTGCCTTTTACCCTCAAAAGCAAGATAGATGCAGAGCTGGACAAATTGCTCCAGCAAGGCATCTTAGAACCTGTGGACTCTAGTCCATGGGAAACCCCCATAATAATGCCTTTAAAGCAGTGGTGGCGAACCTATGGCACAGTTGCCAGAGTCGGCACTCAGAGCCCGCTCTGTGAGCACACGCACCATCGCTCCAGTCCTAGGCCTTCAGCTGGGTTTTATAAAACTTTTTTGGTTTAGGCCTCTGCCACTGTGTGCAAAAAAAAAAAAAGGTTCAATCAGTCAATTTCAACTTCTCGCGGGGGAAAAAAGGTCTTGCAAAGTTGGAATTGATTGAACTTTTTAGTCCCACCCAGTCTGCCATTACCACTGCAGACCACGCCCACCCAATGGGTCACACCCACCCAATGGGCCACACCCACCCAGCACTCAACGATGCATAAATGGGTTTTGGGTAACAGTTTGGGCACTCAGTCTCTAAAAGGTTCGCCATCACTGCCTTTAAAGGCTAATGGAGAAGTCCGCATATGCGCAGACTATAAGTGCACATTGAATAAAGCGTTGCAGCAGCACACATATCCAGTGCCTGTTGTAAGCCACGTTCTGGCCTCCCTCAAGGGTGGGGCGTGTTTTTGCAAAACTTGATTTGGCTCAGGCCTATCAACAGCTACCTGTTGATGAGGCAACTGCAGAGGCCCAGATGATTGTAACACATAGGGGGGCCTTTAAGGTTAAAAGACTGCAATTTGGAGTAGCCCCTGGCATATTCCAAAGTGTCATGGAGCGCACACTTCGGGATATTCCTGGGCTATGTCCCTACTTCAATGACGTCCTCATTGCTGGGGAATCATCTCACAATTTAGCAGAAAGGTTAAGGGCTGTCTTGCTTCGTTTCCACATAACAGGCCTTAAATTGAAGCAAGACAAATGCAAAATAGGAGTAACTTCCACTGACTTCTTAGGCTTCAGGATTGATGCCCAAGGCATCCACCCTGCTGAATCCAAGCTTCAAGCAATTCAGCAGGCCCCAAGTCCCAAATCCAAGAGTGAGCTGCAAGCTTTCTTGGGCCTCTTAAATTTCTATCACACATTCCTCTCACACAAAGCTGCAGTGGCAGAGCTGTTACACTGGGTCTTAGACAAGCAGGCTCCATGGCAGTGGATGAAAGTCCATGAAAGGAGTTTCAATGAGGTTAAGGCCTTGCTCTCTTCAAATGCTGTATTGGCGCATTTCAATGAGCAACTGCCTGTATGCATCGCATGCGATGCATCTCCTTATGGGGTGGGAGCAGTACTTAGTCACCTGAAGGCTGTTGGGACACAAGTCCCTGTAGCATATTATTCAAGGACTCTGTCATCTGCAGAGCAGAATTACCTCAGATTGACAGAGAAGCCTTGGCCATAGTGGCTGGCATAAAGAAATTCCATGATTTCTTATATGGCCGCCATTTCACAGTCTATACAGACCATAAGCCTCTGCTGGGTTTGTTTACAACTAACAAACAGACATCACACATCATTTCTCCACGTATGCTGAGATGGTAAATTTTCCTGTCAGCATATGATTATATACTCATTCACAAACCTGGAAAAGAGATGGGCCACGGAGATGGCCTCAGCAGATTACCTCTCAAACAAATAGAGGCAAATCATGCTCCTGCTATTAACATTCTCTCTGCTGAATCTCCCCTCAATGAGAGGGACGTGGCTGCAGAATCACACACTCACACGCATTTTGACATGGGTGTTGTCAGGATGGCCTGACACGTGTCCAGATACAGAGTTTCAAAGCTTCTGGCAAAGGAAGCACGAACTTTCTTTGGGAAGGGGTGTTGTGTTCTGAGCCTGCTGGAGTGGTGAGCAGGCTCAGAAATGTTGCAAACGGTCCCGGGCAGACCAAAAGCTGCCTGGGACCAGACTGGTTGGTGCCAGCCTTGTGCGCATGCACAAGGCGTGAAAACAGCCAGTTCCTATTGGTTAACACTGTCTGGGTTCAGGGTCCTATAAAAGGCCTGTGTGCCTTTTATCGCTTGCTTGGTTGTAGGAGAAGAGTAATAAAGAGCTTGTTTGTTCACCAT